AGAATACACAAATCAGGGGTATTTTGGTCATTTGGGTTTATCTATTTGAGAGTGAAAGGTCTATTTTATTTAAGTTTAAGTTATGTGTCCCATCACTTATGAGGGATAATATGGTCTTTCTTGTAACTATGATTATTGGAGATAAATACAAGTGGGTCGGCTAGAGGTGGACTGATTTTTCCTAATCTCGCCGAACCCTTCTTCTTTCTCTTCTTCTTCTTCTTCTTCTTCTTCTTCTTCTTCTTCTCTACTTTAACCTAGAATCGAATAGGGATTTCACAGAGATATACTAGACTTTGAACAGACTCTAAGCTGGGACTTCACAATGTGGTAACTCCGTTTCTTTTATTTGTGGCTCTTCTTTTTCTCTGTTCTGTTTAATAATTCATAAATTCTCACTTAGGATGTCAGTGGGTTGGATTCAGTAGTAAACCCACATTGATCTGAGTCAGCCTTAATTGGGTTTTGGGTCGAGTTCACATTGAGGTAAACCCATACCAAACCTGACTCATTGACATTGCAGCATTAAAATCAAATCTCAACCACAAGAAATTGCAGCATTAAATCATTTGTATAAATTGCCTTGGCTGAGCATAGATGTTCTACACATGGGGTGGATTGGGTTGGAGTTGCTTGACATCCCTAATTCTTAGTTGTTAACATTAAGTATATCATTTGTAGTTCTTCATTAATTTCTTCCTATAATGTTTCTCTTAGGTTGTGCTTGCAAGATCTAATGAAGAGGATTTGGTCCGGAAGAAATGGTTTTGGGGCCAACTGGCATGCCATACGGGAAAAAATGTTATTGGTGTTTGGAGAAGCTCTCTCGTCAAACTGCACACAAGTTGTACGGATGATCCAGGTGGTAAAAATCATATTGTTGGCTTTTGTGATTGATCATTTAATTATAAATATATACTAATCTTTTTTCCTGCCTAACTTTGGTCTATACACAGTTACACACAAATTTTGGGGGGGGGCTATTGTGCATATTGAAAATTGGCATTATCAGTATTTTGAAAATTGGACTAGAGTGTTCGACCAAACCGTGTTCAACCAGAATGGGTAATTGAAAATAGGGAATTACAGGAACCTATACAGGTTGAACTGCTGGTTAGACTGGGAAAACTGGGAACTGGGGCCCTATCTAGTTTGATGTCTGGTTTACTTTTATATACATTGGTCCATATGTCATGAATTTGCAATAAGGATCCTTGATCCTTCACAAGAAACTCTGCAGTTTATAATGAACTACATGCGTTCATAAATATGTAACTAAACATGCATAAATGTATGGGAAGCAAATGTTCCAGCTATGCCAAAAGATTGACCATTCAATGCCAAAGCTCTAGTAGAATCCTGCCTTTATTGTTTGTTTGTTTGGAGGCTTCACCTTAAGCTCCAAGATAGTTGCTTCAGCAAGTAGTTTTGTAACTAAATTTTTGGTATGCTGAGAAGAGGATGAACCCTAAAAGGTTGGGCTAGAAGTCAATCCGAGCTTAACTAGATGTAATTTGTATGGATGACAAGTTAACTGAATGGTGGTGAAATTATTGTATGAAGATATTGATTGTGATTTCCAGAAGATACACTTATTTTATATAATCCAGAAAATACAGGCCCCGATTATACAAGAAAGGAGGGCATGACACATACCATATATGCCCCTTCAAGCTACTAGATGTAGAAGTATTCCTTTTTGTTTTTGGGAAAGGTAAAGCATAATTGTATTCTGATTGTCAAAAAACTTTTGATCAGTAAAAAGTAATTTTATTAATGCAGCTTAAAGATTACAAGCAGATAGGTGTAAGATCCATCCCCAAAAGAACAAGAACTCACAGATTTGCCCAGAACAACTGTTCTCTTAAAGCTCCTTATTTGGCTGGAGTGTCTGCCATTCCATTTGTTCTTCTCACCCATTTAAAGGAAACACTAAGCTCCCTTATTAAGTTTCAATCTCCCTAAATTTGTTCCAGAAAACCTAAGGGATTTGGGTACTGCATCTTGTCCAAGAGATGACCACCTTAGAGTCACCTTCCACTTCTAGATTGTGGAAACCAAACTGTTTAGCAAATTTTAAGCCCTGCAATAGGCTAACCATTTCTACTGTCAGTGAATCACCGTGCTCCAGTGGTTCTGAATACAACACCACCATTCTTCCTTCTAAATTCCTGAAGACACCTCATATCCCAGCCAAGGGATTCCATACCATGACTTGCCATACCTTTTCTTGAGTTGAGAGTGGCATCTCTTTCCAAGTTCTCAAAATATCATTCAGCGAGAAATGTTGGAAAGCCTCCATGGTTTTCACCTAATGTGCAACCTTTATTTTAATGAACCCCATAACTTTGTCTTCAGTTTTGCTTTTATCATTGAAAATTCTTCCATTTCTTTCTTCCCAAATGGTCCAAACCGCAACAACCCTCGTTGCTTTCCAAAGTAGTTTTCCTCTTTTCTTTGGTCGTCTCCGGAAATTAGGATCAAAGAGGCCCACCCTATCTTGAGGAGGAGTCCACCTGCACCCATATAGAGAACAAAGATGCTTCTAAATATAAAGCACAAAGGAACATGATATAAAAATATGGGAAGTAGTTTCACCATTGTCCTTGCAAAGGAAACACATACGAGGGGAAAGGCTTTTATTCGGCTTTCTCTTCTGCAAAAAGGAGCATGATATAAAAATATGGGAAGTAGTTTCACCATCTTGTTTGGGCTTGCCTCGAGGGGCTTGGTTGGGGTCTGGGGGCAGAGCCCCCCTGCCTAGCTGCTAAGCATAAAAGAAGAGTTGGTGTGCGATTGAAGCGAGATTTTTAAAAAGCACTTAAAGTTATAAAACTTTTTTCTGTATGGATTAAGAATTTATGACCCTGATATGGACCTATTTGGGCTTGCCTTGAGGGGCTTTGTTGGGGGTCCATGGGCGGAGCCCCCCATCCAGCTGCTAAGCATAAAAAAACAGTTCATGGTTGTTAGAGAATATCAACCTATTCAAGAACCTCACCTAACAGCTTAAGCTTTTAGGTTGAATGGTTCTTTGAGATGATATCAGGGCCAATCTGACCAAGTGGTCTAATGTCCGATCCTCGTCACCCCCATTGTAATTAAATAAGTTTCAGCACAAGATATCGGTGGGCCTATGCTTGTTCACGCTTCAAGCCCAATGGGTTTTCGTGTGAGGGGGCATGTTAGAGAATATCAACCTATTCAAGAACCTCACCTAACAGCTTAAGCTTTTAGGCTGAATGGTTCTTTGAGAATGGTCATGTTTCCTTCTTGTTTTTTCAGCATCTGCATACCTTTAGCACTCACCTCTTCGAATATGAAGTTCTTTGCCTCTACCTGTAATCCCTTCCTCCATCTTCTAGAAGGCTTGGACCCTTCCTCCATCGCTTCAGTCGTTTTTGTCAAAAAAAAAAAACTTTATATTACCCATAATATCTAGCTCAAAAGTATTCCTGGTATTTTTCTCATCTATCTGGACTCCATTGAACTTGTGGATTGCTTTCTGCTTTGATCATGATTTCCTTTTTAATTTGCTTTTGCTAGAGGCTTGATAGCGTTTTTTGATTTGGGAAGCACTTGGGGAAATGTGTCTCTTCCTGGTGGAGACATTTACTTGGTTTCTGTATCTTGACAAATTAGTTACAGGCAATCATCCAAATGACAGAGGGATACACATCTATTACTATTGTGCAATGTGCAACGTAACGGAAGAGACAATCAATCACTTTCTCCTCCTCTGTCCAGCTAATTTTCTCCTTTGAAAATTCTTTATCTCTCCATTTCAGATCTCTTGGTCCCTGCTTTCTTTGATGAGGGAAGTGATTCAGTCCTGATTTTCTGTTCCAATTAGTAGTGGGAGGACTGTTTGGTCCATGGTTCCTTGGGTGGTTTGCTGGGCTATACAGATACAGAAAGAGTGCAACTGATTATTTTTTTGACATACTGGAAATGCTGTTTCTGTGCGCTTGCCAAGGATATTAATAATTTCTTAATGGGTTCGTCTCTTTTTCTCAATGAACTCAAGACTTCCAGGTCTTGAGATCATCTATAATCAGTTAAATATTTTGCGGGTAGTAGGTGGTGTACTCTTTTGTCTATTACTTTAAACTTATACTTAAAATAAGATGTTTTAATTACTCAAAAAATAAAAAACAGTTATCCCATATGGTATCTTGTTTTCTGAAGTTTCATAGACATTTCCTCATTGACAGATCATTCAAGATGAATTGCTTTCTGAAGAAATTGAGATGTACAGAGCTTGTGATGCAAATGGTATCCCACCTCTTGGTCGTCTTCAGAGTTATTTTATAGAGTTGGGACAAGATGCAAATCTAGATGATAAAACTTCAAAACTGAGTATGGCAATCAGTTCTTGCATGAGGGACATGTACCACTATATGCGTGTCTCTGGATTACACACACTGGAATGTGTTATGGATAATGCTCTGTCTGCTGTCAAGAGGGAACAGCTTCATGAAGCTAGCAATGTATGTGCCTACTATCCTGTATAAATTGAATAAGTGAGTATGGCATATTAGAGATAATGTTGTCATTATGCTTCTGCAAATTAGTCATCTTTTCATTGGATGTATATTTACCTTCAATTTCACTGAAGAAATGTTCTTGTTTATCTGACAGGTTCTTTCTTTGTATCCCCTTCTTCAACCCCTGGTAGCTGTTATGGGTTGGGATTTATTGTCTGGCAAAACAGTTGCTCGGAAAAAACTGATGCAAGTTTTGTGGAGAAGCAAGTCACAGGTATTAAGGCTGGAAGAGTTCTCCCTCCATGGCAAACAATCAGATGAGGTAATCTTGAAGCTTCAGTAGAAATACCTTTTATGTTTGGTATGTTTCCTTAGGTCATATTTGTACTTGGCAGAAAGATTTTGTAATCATTGGAAGTGCATTCAACAGATATCTTGCGTGGAGCATCTTTGTGATACTTTGTGTTATCATCTAGATCTTGCTTCTTTTGTTGCCTGTATCAATTCTGGTCAGGCATGGAGTTCCAAGTCTTCACTATTGTTTTCTGGAAAAGAACAAAATGTGGATGAAAATGAGGGTGCACAATTGGACCCTTTTGTTGAAAACTTTGTGCTGGAACGACTTGCTGTTCAGACTCCTTTGAGGGTAAGAATATGCTTTTGTATTTTGAATTTGATGAAACACCAAGCATCATGATTATAGCTTATTACAGCTTCACATATAGTCTTGTTAATAATTCTTTTGGTAGGTGACTGAGTGTTTTTATCAATATGTAAAACTAACAAGGATTACAACCTTTGTATAAGATCGAACCCCATAATGTTGTGGATCCAACAGAAAAGGAGGTCCTTTGTGTTGTCTTTTGGTCGTTTCTTGAGGTGGATCCCAAGCATTTAATCTTGTACTTCTCTTTCCTCTTTGTTGTATTAGTTGTTTAGAGCAATTGTGGTGATTTCTCATCACCCTGATTGAAGTACTCTTCCTTTTATCAATAAAGTTTTCTTTTTTATTTATTACAAAAAAATGTATGGATCCAACAGAAAAGGAATAGAGGACATATTAAATTTGTAACCCTCCAAACAAAAGCCAAGAAGGAAAACATTGATTTTGTTAGTCTTTCTGATTGTCTTTTGGCAAGTAGAAGCAGTCATTGATTAGGACAGTTCCCGTGTAAAAAAGGATGACTCTAACCTGTCTATATGGTAAGAAGTCAACTGGTTTACTAGTAAGGGTGGCAATTTATTTACTAGGAAGATGGAGAGAGATAAATAGTGACCTACTTGCAATTTGCAAACGTCATCATTATTATTATTATTGTTTTTTTTTTTTGTGAAGAGGGTGGGGAAGGAGGGGCCAGGAATCTATAAATTTTGATAAGCTATTTTAAGGAGAGGCAAGTAAATAACTTTTGATACTATTGCTAATACCTTGTCATCTAGTGCAAAATATGATTAAGATGAATTTTGGTGGCCATAATCTGAGAAATTGGGGATCCTCAGGGATTGGTGGGGCATTCAAAAGTTGTAACTGAGATATATTGACAATCTTTTCTGGATCTATTTGATATGGAGGCTCAATAAGGACTGAGATAGTAGCTGTTCTATAGGGATTATGGTTGGGCAGAAGTCATCAGTATAAGAATATAGTGGTGGAAGGAGATTCTAATTATTTGTTGGCTTGCTTATGGACAACCCCTTGGATGCTTGGAAATAAAGTACTTATTGAGGGAGATCAGAAAACTAGTCATTGAACTAAATGTAACTTTCTCATGGATCTATAGATCTGCTGACAGTTGGGCAAATGCTTTGAAAAGATACCCCTTGGATGCTTTGAAACCTGGGTTTTTAGCAATTCTGGTTCTTGGGGTGTGACTGAACCAGCCAGGGCCCCGGGTCATGGTTCAACTGGTCCATCTGGTGTGTCTGGTCCGGTTTCCTAAACACTGAGAAGAAGAGAAAATAAGAGATCAGACAGTGTTGCTATGCAGTAAAAGAATCATGGGGTGGATGGTATTTTACCAGAATTTGAAGGAGTTTCCAAAGATGTTTGGAATGGCTTTTGGTCTTTACTAGAGTTAGAGTCACGAAATAAATCTCTTGTTTTATTGTTTTTCTCTTGAGTTGTAATACTTTATTCTCTGTATTGGGTAGTTTTTGATCTTGTGGTGATATCTCGTTTCCATTATGGATGTACTCTTTCTCTTTGATTAATAATTTTTTTTATTTATTACTGGAAAAAAAGTTTGGGGTTTTAAATTCCATCCTTTTATTGGTTATTAAATATCACTTTCTGCTTGGTTCTAACAAGATACTTTTCCTCCAGGTCTTGTTTGATGTAGTTCCAGGCATAAAATTTCAAGATGCCATTGAGCTAATCAGCATGCAGCCCATTGCTTCAAATGCAGCAGCTTGGAAGAGGTATGGATGCAACAAGTCTATCACTAGTCATTTGCTACATGCTTTTGTAGTTGATGCTCAACTATCATATTTTTAATTTGTATGGATAATCCCATGTTTGTGGACGCATTTGGTTACTTTTATGAATTGTGACCATGAGGCTAGTTGTCTCTTTGCATAACTTGGTGATGATCTTTGCTGTCATGAGTGATTGTTCTTTATGGTGGTTTACGTACTTTCTTGTGGACCTATTTTATTATTTAAATTAGTTGTTGGATATGTATATGGTGTAGAAATTGGATAATAGTGGCTTCCTGTTCAGCAGCATAACCTAAATCCTAACCACAGCGGCATCCATCTAATGTGAACAGAATCAAGATGAATTTCGATGGATGCTGTTTAGGGAATCCAGCGCCCTTTGGAGTAGGGGAAGTTTTCGGGAATTTTGAAGGAAATATTCTAGCACTATTCAGGTCCAATTGGGGTAGGTGACTCTATCAGGGCAGAGTTACTGGCAGTGTTGCATGGTCTAATGATGGCTAAAACTCTCCACTAGAAAGAGGTACTGATAGAGAGATTTGAAGGCAATTATTGCATGGATTAGAAATAACAAAGGGGGGTCTTGGAGATAAAGATATAGACATAGGAAATAACAAAATTTTATTGGGAATTGGAACATGATACAAATGGTCTCCATGGTTGGCTAACTCCTTACTGAATGGTTTGGCAAAATCTGGGTATAACAGAAATCAAATCCTTCAGAGAACCATGGCCATTTTCTTTTCATTTCATAACTAGACAATGCCCCCATAAGACCTAGGAGAGGTGAGGAAGATGGGAAGCCGAAGCGGAGAAGTCTTTCAAATGGTGAGTATATGGAAGTCTGAACTGAATATTGAAGCGAAGAAAATCTTACTCGAGAGTGGAAGGGCCAGAGGAAAGAACCTGTTAAAAGTTGGGGAGGATAGGAAGGCGACGATACTATTGTTTGAGGAAGCAGTGATATGGTTGAAGGGCTTTATCGATGGTGTTATACAACGGTTAAGACAATAGGTTGGAGGAATGTTTTAGAACTGGAAAAGAAGAAGTGCGAAGTGGAGCTGAGGTGCAATGGAAGAGGCTGGTTCATCACGGTAGCAGAATACTTCGGCACAAGAAAACAAATGGTTTGTTTACCAGAAGGGAAGAAGATGCAAGGTTGGATGGCCTTCGCGGAGGGGTTGCAGCAGTTTCTTGTCTGTGTCGATAAACTTGTGGAGAAGGAGCAAGAACGAAGATCTGAACCTCTTAAATGCCTGGGGCAGCCATTGAAGAAGAGCTCATGCGGTGCTGGAGAGGTTATATCGAGCTCTAATGCAGGGGTGAAACTGTGGTTTGAGGGTGAGAAAGATGATTGGGAGCGGAGAATGGTGATATCAGTGAGCAAGGAAATACAAGATTGGGGGAAGGTTCTAAACTCAGTGGTGCATAATTTGAATCTGGAGTCTGAGGTTGCTCTGAAACCATTCTCAGACAGGAAGGCAGTGTTGAGAATTGACGATGAGATAAACAGGGGCTTTACAACCTTCGAACGTGAAGAAGGTATGGTCCAAATACAAAACTGGAAGCCGTTGTGTAATGAGATGGAACATGTTTGTGGAAGTTTCCTGCTCAAACTGGTAGGACTTCCCTTCCATCTCTGGAATGAAGCAAATCTGGGAAATATTGTGAAGCTGTTGGGCGGGGAAATGGAGGAAGCCCAGCTGCAAGACTTTCGCGCCGCAGTGGTTAGGATGGTTGGGGTGAGACCGGAATCGCTCCCAAGAACAATCGAGGTTCTTGCTGGTGGATCGTGGTTTAAAGTTTGGTTAGTTTCAGAGGTGGAGGCAGAGCTTTGGGGACGAATAACCAAGGTAGAAGACGACACTGACGTGGAGGGCTGGATTACTAGGGGACCACAGGTGGAGAGTAAGGCTGAACATAGGTGGCAGCTTAGAAGGGAAGTTGGAAAGTCGGTGGGAGAAAACCAAAGGTCACGAAAGCTATTAAAAGAAAAGAATTTAAAAATATTTGAATTAGATGGAAGTTCAAAGGTTCGAGATACTTTCGCTGACGTGGTTAAGAAGGGGAGAGGCTTGCAGGCCGGCTTATCCGAACCAGTGGGTGGATCGGCTGGTTGAAACAGATAGTGGACTCCCTACCCACGTGACTGTTTAAGTGAGCACGTGGGTCGGGGTAAAACTTTGGGGACTATAGACGATAGACCCCATCTATCTTCTTCCTCATCGAAGAAAACTGATGGGGGCGTTGTAGGGGATCTCAGGCAGACAGAGAAGAGTTCAAGTTCACTACGATGGGTGTCTCGCACAGTTCCTGAAACACCCAGGGAGGGACGAACCTCACAAGACCGACCAAACCCCAGATACGATCGAGATCATTACGAGGAGAAGGTATTGACGAGGGCTGGGTAGACTGTGATCTGGAGGAAACAGATGTGTAAGAAGATTCTGACAGCCGGTCTAGCATAGGCAGTGTCTTGGGTGAGAAGTTTTTAGAGGAAGAAATTGCTGCAACTCTCGATCTGGATACGTTGTTTATAGAAGAACCAGTAGAGGAAATGTCTCACTGCGCCAAGAAAGAGCTGTATAATAATGAAGTGGAACACATTTCGAATTCTGGGGGGGTGAAAACTCTAACTTAAACTCAGAAGCTCCATCTCCAAATCACCTTGCCGAACAGGATTTTTGTAAGGATTCTCTCGAGACTTCTCAGAAGCAAGACGGGGACATAGTGGTGAGGCACAAACAGGAGGGTAAGAGATCTCTGTTTATCAGAGGAGGCGGAAAGGCTAACTAATCAGAACCGAGCCTTGGAGTCAGATGAACCCCACATTCCTTGTTAGGGCCTGACTGGTTCTGTATCCAATTCCTGCACTCCTATCCTACCCCAACACAACCCAGGCAACCGTGTCCTTTCGATTTGTGATACTAACGCCTGCTCTTTGTCCTATGTGCCAAATACAAATCCCAACCCAGAGGATGCAGCCCTCGAAGGAGGGGAAGGGGTAAGAGAAAACAGAAGTGACAGGGAGGGTCAGTAGAGAGAAGTAGGGAATGAAGGAGAAGCAAAAAGAAGGAAAATAATCCTGGAAATCCTTGAGTGTCTGTTAAATGAAGCAGTGGTGAACAACATTCAAAAGGAAGGACCAGAGGGAGTTAGAACAGAAGGATTTGAGGAGGAAGGAGATAGAGGTGGGTAAACAGAACAAGGGCATGGAAATAGAAAGTCAAATGAAAGAGACTTAATTAGTGAGGATTCTGTGGTGGGTTTTGTACAGAAATTAGGGTGTAAATTGAAAGATCCAAATGACCTCAAAGTGTTTTTGAAAACAAAGAAAGAAGAGACAAAGGTTAAAAGGAGAAAATTGAGTGAGGCTGAAAGGTTGATGAAGGAGGTGGGAGGAGATAGAAGCTTGGAGGTCAAAGGGGAAAGGAGGAAAAGGAATAAGTGAGGGTAAGAGGGGTAAAGGGTAAAGAACATAGATAGATGAGGATCATAAGCTGGAACATCAGAGGTTTGGGAAGTGCTAGGAAGAGAGCAGTAATAAAAGAGGCCATCAAGAAAATAGACCCAGATGTGGTATTTTTGCAAGAGACCAAGATAGCAGATTTTGATATCAAGTGGGCAAGGAGTGTTTGGAGAGGTAGGGGGATTATTTGGGTGGCCCTGCCTTATTGGGGTTTGCAGGGGGTGTTGTCACAATGTGGAAGAATGAAGTATTTATAGGTCAGGAAGAGTTGATAGAGGTGAGTAAGGGAAACAAAATTGGAAATAGGGTGAAGGGCTTCTTAAGTCCAAACCATGCTCGAGGGGACTGTTTAAGTCCATATATAGCCTTCTTAAGTCTGCATACCTTACCATCCTCCCCCCTGAGCAACAAACCTTGGAGGTTGCTCCATGTAGACCTCCTCGAGCAAATCACCATGCAAAAAGGCATT